AAAGTCCTTCGTCCTGCGTCTCACTCCTCTCGCGCTCTTTTTACAACATCTCTTGATTGTAGATAAAATAACAGTTACCACAGTTACGATTACCATTTTTTTTTTCAACCACTCGCAATTCGGATCCCCGCAGTGCAAAAAAATTCTCGTTCTCTCGATTTACAGTTTTGACATCTCTCTTCTTCCACAAGCTGTATCGGTAACAAAATCTCGCGCAGACATAATTCCTTGAGATGCGGCGAAAGGGAATTATTTCTGCCGATTTATATTGTGTTGTCAGTACACTCGGTTTTTTTGTCTTTTTTTTTTACCAGGAAGAATATCTCAGACACTATTTTTTTTTTTTTTTTTTTTTTTTTATAATAACAGGAGAGAAAAGGATCCGGAAAAAGAGAGTCTCGTGCAACACTGTTTCGTCGTGTCACGCGCGATAAAAACGTAATCTCTCATTACAATTTATTATCGGTAGTTGTTTTTTCTTCGAACGAGAGGGAATTATCGTCGACGGTGTGTGAGCATAGCGTTAATTACTATATTCAGCGCGGTCGGTTAAAGAGAACGTATAAAAGATCGAATCGAAAACGGATCCCTGTTAAGGACTGGTTATTGGATGTTCTCTTCCGTTCTTCCGTTTATTTGTTTTTTTGTTTTTGTTTGTTTATTATACGTACTCCGTAACACACACATACATACACGGGCTTCCTTTTATCGCCGAACTCGTTAACACTCGTCGAGCATGATCGGACTTGTCGCGCGCGACTGTCGATATTATCGCGCGCGGGGGGAGGATTTACTTGCGCGATTCGCACACAACGTTATCTCCGTTCGCGATTGCTGCCTCGATTTACATGTAAACACCTCGTTCGCCCGATAAAACTCAATTAGGTTTACACCTTTTAATTAATAAGAGAACGCCAATCAACATCGATCTGAATCCCTCCTTCGTGCTCACCCATCACGATCCTGATGAAAGGCGGGAGGGAGGAGAGTAGCAAAAAAAACGCACGTCCTTCAATTTGTACGAGATTTTACAATCGCGTCGTTCACGTGAATCCGGAGTTGTAAACTCTCGTTTTTGTAAAATTTGCGATTTTCTGACTAGAATTTGGATTGTTGTTTCACTCAACTTACGCGCGAATTCGCGCGACCATCGATTCAATGGAGAATCTTTTAATAAGAGCGCGCGATGAAAAAAAGAAAGTATGTCTGAAAATAGACTGCCTTCGAAATAAAGTCGAGTATTAATACAGACCTTGATGCCACTGTCCGACTTTGTGACTGATGACGATAAAAAAAAAAGAAAAAAAAATGAATACCCGCATATGCGACTGTTTCGCTAACGATGTTAACAGGACTTTGCGATTTACGTTACATCGTGGGTGGACGACAGCGTGTTGACGCGCGATTTCATCGGCAATCGCGCGCATCGATGTTGCGTGCGCGATTTATCACACGGATCTGCGGCGCATTATTGTTTCTAAACGACGAAAAGAACTTCGCTCACGACACTGCGTCGATAATGACATTACGCAGCAATGCAAAGAAAAATAAAAAAAAGAAGTGAAATCATTAATAATTTCATAACGATATTATTATCGGCACGCGTGATTGATTAAAGAGGATTCCGGGGATTTTCTGTTCCCTTCGTTTCCTCGCGCGAGCTCGAGACGAGAAAGAAGAAATTCAATTCGTGAGGAGCAGACGGTGTCCGCTACACCGTCCGAGATAACGACATGACATCGACATCACGAAAGAACGAGAAAGAGAAAGAGAGATAGAGGGAGAAGAGAGACGGAGGATAAAATCATTAATAATTTCGTAATACCGGTTATGTGACGCGAGGTGTGATTAATTAGAGAACAGTCGTTGCGCGCGCGCGTCGATCTCCGTCGTGTCGTCGAAGAAAATTTCCGTCGCTCCGATATCCGGTGATAACAACGTTATCATCGAGACGATATCGGCGAAGGAAAAAAACAACCGAATGCATTTCCGAATAAATCGGGTGTTATTCAGTCGTGGCAACGGGACAGAATACGGACGGTCTTGAGCATAGAAGAGGTAGGAGAGAGAGAGAGAGAGAGGGAAAGAGAGACAGATAGTGATAGAGGAAGGAAAAAACGAGGAGGAAGAAAAGAGAAAGAGAGAGAGAGAGAGCATAACGCTATACATTGTACATATATATATATATATATATCTATAATCACATAATATTCGATTAAAGATTGGTCGGTTGTTATGCGTGATTTATCATTTAATTTATTTTAAGTTAAAACCTCTTTTTACAATGATATCTTACAATGTGTCTGTGTATGTCACTTTTTACATCCAATTAACATCATCGCGTGTGTGCATGAAAGGATCACTCTCCGCTCTTTACTTTCCTCCCTCCCTTCTTCTGAATTCCCTTTCCTTGTCGCACCCTTAAATCTCGCGCATTCCGAAAAATCTCTCTTTCATGCGCGGATGCGATTGGCCTCCCTTCAAAATCATATTATTTTTTTCTTTTTTTTACACAGGCTACTCGCTAATCTCTAGTAATACTATTTAATAGATACCTCCTCCCACTCCTCTTCTGCGGCCCTTTTCCGTCGTAGGACGCGCGAAGGGCGCGCACCGATCAATCCCGTCGATACCGATTTCCGCTTTCCTTCCTTCAGTCTTTTGGAAAATCGCCGCCCAATCCGTCGTCCCACCACGTGGAACTCCGAAGCGGGCCCATCTTCCTCGCCTCGTTCGCGGCGAGAGGAAAAAGTATCGCGCGATTATATCCTCCCCGAAGAATCATGAATCACATTTCTCATCGCCCGTCTCTCCCTCCGCTTGCCCTCTCCCCCTAATGTGTTCTCTTCATTCTAATAAAAACTTTCGTCTCTCTTTCCGGTTCGTATTTATCTACGTACGTTTATTTTTAGTTCGCAAAAAACTTATGCGAGAGTGGGTAAAACCTCTAAAATCGAAAGATCACAATGTGTTCCGGAACTCAAGCGAGTGAGTCTCTCTCACGAGCAGCAATCAATCAATGTACAATCAATCGGTGATGATCGATTAATGATAATGACAATACTAACGATCGTCCGGCGTCTTCCATCCCCTCCCTCCTCCCATCCCGTTGTATCTATCTTGCGTTGTCGCTCGCCGATGAGTTGTCAATTATATCCTGTTGACTATCTATATGCACGGTTGTTTATGATGCGCAATTAGTTGCTAATTATGCACAATCGATTAACGCGCGCGACGGTCGCCCGTCGCGCCTTTCTGTGATATATGGTGTGTGTATTTATATATATATATAATATATATAGTTTTTATTTTTCTCTTCTCATTTGCATATATATATATAACTATTATTACAATAACGATACACAATCTTCGAAGATACAAAATTTACACTTGCCTTTAGTTTAGAGAATGTGTCTCTTGTATTTTCTTGCGTTTGTCGACTGCTGCTGTGTGTACAATGTGTGTGTGTGTGTGTGTTTGTTTGTTTGTTTGTTTATTATTGTTGATTTCTTGTTTCCGCCGTGACTAAATTATGAAGCTAAACGCTCGTGCGATCCAACGATCGCGTCGACGCGTCGCGTCCGGTGGATCGATCGCGATCGCCGGAGGCTTCGTGTATAATTTAATAAGAATTTATTCTATGCGGTTTTTTTTTATTACACTTACGTGAACTATCACTAACCGTACGACACACAGAACGGTGCTGGACCAATGGACGCAGTGTACAGTACAAAGGGACAGAAAAAGACAGCTCTCGTAAAATTTCTAGAAAAAAAAATTCGGCAAATCTCTCGATCGTGGAGAACTGTCGGCGTGATTCAAATACATATCGAAATATATTGTAGAAAAATGTCAATTCCCGAGAAATGAATTATGTTTCTAAGTCAATTCAATCGGTTTCGTCTGCAAAAAGGAGCTGAACTTTGAAGCGCTTTGTAGTTACACACAGAAATATATGATATATAATGTATAATGTATAAACATATATTATATAAATATATAATATATATATGTATCATATATGTACATATTATATATGTTCATATTATATATATTCATACATATACAGTATATATTCTCTAAAAATCTCACGTCGTCAAAAACAACGTTTGTTTTCACCTAAATTGTTTTGTTAATAAAAATTAAATGCTCTCTAAAAAAACGTGTGTTTTTACGACAATTAGAAAACAATAAATATAAAACTTCGCGTATCTCTTTACGTTCAATCAAACGAGAAACTCAACGTGTTTCGAATTCACGTGTGACATGTGAAAAATGTGTCGAACCTGCTCTCCGCGAGAAAACGTCCAAGCGATCCCGCACCGAGTTACGAGAACGTCCGTGAATAAACAACTCTTGTTTGAAAATTGCACGATATCGCGACTTCCATGCGAAGGCATGCACGCGCATTCTCGCGCTCGCGCACTCTCTCGTCCAGATAATCGATTCCGAAGCGAAAAAGATTTTTTGTTTTTTTTGCGTCAACCGTCGCGCGGAAGAGCCGATTGATCGGCCGTCCGATCGATTGCACACGCAGCCAGAATCTTTCACGAAATAACACCTGTAACAAGTCGTCGCATGCGCGCGCGCGTTCACATCCGCTCATCCACATACACGCACACATAATATAAATTCTTATATATCTATATAATTATTTACATGCTATATATATATATCATATAAGACTCGATTAGCTGTTCTTTTTTTTTGTACTTGGGGCCGGGGCTCGATGGCCCTACAATAATGAAACTTTACATATTTACAAGTATTTCACCTTTTTTTTTCTTAAGAGTGAGATCCAACGGACGCACTCTCTCACGTGCAGGAGAAGGACGTGTGGGAGAGTCCTAGGGATCTCGCGTGCCGGGATTTTTGTGATCGATCGTGCTCCTCCGAAGGTCCGCGTGCGAGAAAGAGAAGAGGAGAGTTTGCTTGAATTTTTTCAGCTTTTCTACGTGTTTCTGTTTTCTCTTGCTTGGTTTTCTTTTTTTTTGTTTTTGTTTTTTACATTAAAACGAGACAGTGGTGGGCTGCGTCCTGAGCTGCTAGTCACTCGCGATTCATGTGTACTCCGATCGCCAGCCGGTCTGAAACCAGACAAAGGTTTGCCACTCTTTAAGATGCTCCACTTGCCGATTGCGATTCGCAATTTGAAGCGAGCGAGGATCTCACTCCCTTTTGCGCCGACGATTTTGATCGACCGATTAAGAACTTTTTGTATTTTTGCTGATATTAAACATCATTTTTTTATGTGTGTAACTGCAATTTTTTTCACGAGAGTATATTGGCCAAAACATTTGAACGCGACGTGTTTAAATCATTTTCACTTCTGATGCATCAGACTCGACGTTATTAAGCCCGGCTTAAGAAGAGAATTCGCGCGGTGTAGATCCTGATCGATTATCGGCGGTCGGAGCCTTTGGTCAATCGCCGATGAAGGTAACGATCGTGCACTCACCATTGCGTTCGTCGTGGCGGCCAGCTGTAGACCCTGAAGACTCGTCATGTGATGAGAATGGGAATGCGAATGCGAGTGCGGGTGGTGGATGGGGGGCGGCGCCGGTGGCGCAAATCCCTGATGAAGACCTCCGGCCACGCCGACGCCCGTGTGATACATGTAATGCTGCATCGCCGGATGCATCGTGTGATGATGCTGCGACGTACCTGGAACGATAATGAGACGCGCCGTTTTTTTTTTTAACCCCGCCGTGCGCACTCGAGAGAAAGAAACCTCAAATCGACAAAGCTGATATTTCTTTCGCGGGATCGTTTGGGAAGACAATTGTATTTATAAATTGCTGTTTTTGTTTCAATGGGGGGGAGATTAATTACTGTAATCAAACGTAGAATGTAGAGAGAGAGAAAGAAAAAACTGTCCAAAGTGTACGCGTTTGAATTGGCAAAATGTGCGAAACGAAACAAATTATTTTTGTAACTTGCGAAGAGTCGCGAACTTACCCATCGGCGTTCCAAACCCGGAATGGAAGGGCTTGTTATCGAGATCGAGGTGTCCGCTGGCCTTGATCATGTCGCCCATGACACCACCGAGGCCTAGGCAGCCGCCGGCCTTCTTCTTCTTGCTCTTCGACGAGAGCTTTCTGTTTCTCGTCTGAATGCCCTCCTTCTTCATCGTTAACGGCCGGTTGACCTGCAACGGTCGTAGACAACATTTCGCTAAGTTTGGAAGTTATATTCTAAGAAGGGGACGGCGCGTAACACATACATTTGTGCGTGTCCGATCGATTTTAAATTACACTTTTTTGCTAAATAATCGGGGGACGAGCCGCGCGTTCGGTCGCGCGACACACAAAAACTCGGGACGAATTAAAATCACTGACGCGAATATAATGCGATGACGTAAAGGGAAAAAGGTGGAAGCCGGCGTTCGTCGGACGGAAGATGTTATATTCGCGATGCGCGTTTTCTTCGAGCCATTGCACGCGCGCGGCGATGCTTTCCGCACGCAGGATCGTAAATCACATCGTATGTAGCATGTTCGACGGACGGCAGCGCGGGGAATAACACACTCGCCTCTTTATTCTAAACTTCAATCCGCGATTTTTTCTCCCCTCCGCAACGTTCCATTCGGATTCTCGTGTGTGCACGCGCCGCTCGACACCGGATCAACTTTCGTTCAAGTTCTTCGTCTTCTCTCGTAAGATCGATTTAATGTAAAATACCGCGCTTGCAAAAAATATTTGTTCTCAATTTAATTTGAAGCGGGAACAAAGTTCTTGGATAATCGGGGAAACATGGAGCTTGTAAAAATCGCTCGTCGAGAAAGATGACACGAGACTCTTCCGTCATTTACCGCCGTGCAATTTCGTCGATTTACCCGACCGAGAAACGCAATTAAGAAATCCCTCAGATTCCTGGTAGTCTCTGGAAGCCGGTGCAATTAACGAATCGACAGTCGTCGAGCGCAATTCGCGAGATGCTACGTCGTCGCGTCGTCGTCGTCGTCGTTGCGCGCTTCTCTCGTTGCCGTGACCACGCCTTGTCCGCGCGCGCGCGCGCCACGAAGGAACGACAACGCGCGTATTATTTCTCTCGTTGAGAGAGAGAAAAAGGAAAAGAGGGAGGTCGTCGGCTTCTCTCGGTCTTCGATCAAAATTGAAGATAATACGTCCGCTAAAAATAAACGGAACACGATGAGCGGAGCGCGGGCGCGCTTGGAACGCGCGGCATCTCCGCGAACGATTCGCTCGAATCTGATTTTAAAAACGCGTATTAACAAAATCAGAACGTCATCGCGGTTTGCACCGCCGCCACACTTCCTCGTTACCATAATTTTGTTCGTCGAAACACTCGTAACAATAAACGTCAACTTGAGAAGGAAAACTTGATTTATCGGGTCACCCTGTATGTGTACGACGAAACGCTCCGCGCAATGCTTAAGTACGAATAAGTATGGAAGTATGCAAGTGTTGTGTGTGTTGCATCGAATTGGTAGAAGGGAAGAGGGTGGGGGAGACGGAGGAATCGCGGCGCTTTGTAGTCGCCGCGACGTGACGCAACTGCCAACTTGGGGAAAAAGGTTCCCGGTATTGCGCTTGGGGACACACCACGAAGATGCGTATATGTACGTCAGTGTGCACGTACGTATCATAATACGTACGTTCAGGCGGCGCATCATCCTCCTTCCGTCGCCCGACCTCGGCGCGATTATTTTTGTTTGCTCGTCTTCTTTCGCACCACCCAAAGCCCGGCGGCGTCCAGACGGTCAACGACTCTTTTCGGAATTACGCAATTGGCCGAATTTGCCGAATTAACGGGGCCCCCGTTCTCTCTTTAGGGTAAGACGCGCGCGGCGGCGGTCTCTCTGTGAATATTCTGTATTCTTTCCTCGAGCGTTTTGTTCAAAAGTACATCGCGCCGACATGCGCTTATAATACAAAAAAAAAAAAAAAAAGAGATCAAGAATATACTCGAGGAAGAGTACAATTATTATCCCGCTTCGCTGTATTTTTACGTTACACGTCGAGACCGGTATAAAATACCGGTCAGCCAGTTGTTAATGGGCCTCTTAATAAGCGACGATTCGCGACAGAGAAACGACCGAGAGAGAAGCGACAGTGTTTCCGAGACGGTAGACGCGAAAAAGCTCGATTCAATTTGAATACAATACGAACGCGGATTTAATAGAAACCACCGGAGAGGTCGGTGGGAGTTCGCGGTCGGTATTCGAAAATGTACGAGGTGCGAACGAAAGATGCGATAGAAAGAAGAAAAGATACGAAAAGAATCTTGTCAAAAACGCGGCGAAAGAGATCGCGGAAGGAAAAGCGCGCGACGAAAAAGCAAGGCTACGAGATTAGATGGAAACGGCGAGAAAAGAGAGGGGAAAGGCAGGATGTTCAAATGCAGATTGATGTTGTCGCACCCGATGCAACTTGGGCGCGAATCACATACGAAATCGCAATCCGGACGCGAGAAGCGGAGAGTTCATTGAATGGAGAATCGAATTCCGCGCACGGAAAAGCGGATTACGCTCGAACTTGTATACGCTACTTATCGATCTCTTTATCGATCGACATCTGAATCGTGAATATACGCGCTGCGCATTTCGTTTGCAGAGCAAAGTCGCTTTCTCCTTCGGCTCGACCTTCGTCACGCGTGTACGTGCGCGCAGCACGCTTAAAAAAAAAAAAAAAAACAAAAAAAAGTATCCGGTGAATTTCAAGTACTATACGCGATTCACGAGCAACGAGGACAGGTTGTTTTGTTTTTCACGCTGCCGCGACAATGGCATGAAATAATAATGGCGATCCCGGGGGCGGTAATTATGGCGGTTTCCCGGCGCCCGTTCGATGGCAGATAATCTTGACGGCTAACCGACGTTGATGAAGTCGTGTAAATTCTGTTATCAATCTTTCTCGAGGAATATATACTTTACCAACTTCATAAAGATCGGCGATTCCGCGCGTCGTCGTCGGGTTTACACGGCCGACGACACACGATTACGAGAACTGACAAATAATTTGATCCTCTCTCTTTCTTTCTCTCTCTCTCTCTCTCGCGAGATAAAGTCATATCGTTAAAACTAGACAATGTTGGATTCTAATCTTTATGCGTCTAAACGTAAACGGGAAGAAGAATTTGCATTGTTGCTTATTAAGATAATGAGGGAGCAATATGAAGCGAGACAAGGAAAAAAAGAGAGAGAGAGAGAGAGAGAGAGAGAGAGAGAGACTCGTGCTTTATGGCTCGTGTCCGCGGACGGGGAAGGTGAGGAGATGACTGGATCCCGAGAATCCCCACGTAGAACAGAGGCACCTTGTCTTTTCCGATACGGATCTCTCGATCTCGTCGGTCGCCGTTACGCGAGTGTCTCGTCGCGGTACGTACAGAGAATAGAAGCGTAGGGTGTATATATGTATATATATATATATATATATATATATTTATACATATATACATATATATGTACTCCGACGCTGAGATTGACCGATAAGAGAAATAATTTTAGGACCGCGTCTCCAGTTCCCGCCAGTTGTCTTAGAAAAGAAGTTCCGGCGGAGAAGGAACGCGTTACGCTTGCCCCGAGATGAGGGGGACCTGTCTCGATAAAACCAAACTAACTGCAACGGTTCGTAATAAATAAGCTGGTCCTAGAAATCTCGGTGAAATTTAATACAGCGACGAAAACGGACCGAAAGAAAATTTAACTTTGTGAGAGCGCATAAATTTTAGACTAAAAAAATTTAAATACAAATATCGGTTTTATTGCGGGACGAAATCTCATTGTGAAAGTTTCTACGCGTGAAAAAAAAAATCTCCCTTCGATTGAACGCGACGTCGCGGCGATATCTAGCCTTGCTGCTGTTTTCGCAGTCGCGGCACACGTCGCGGAAAGGTAAACGTCTCTTACGGAACAGGACGCGACTAAAGACTCTCGGCTCGTCGCATCGATGAAAGGGCCGATTCCGCGAGGAAGTTGTAAACTCGAATTACGTAGAAGCCTAAATTATGCCGAAGTCCGCTCGATGCCACTTGATATGCTCGCGACGATCCCTCGTACGAGAGACGTAGCGCGAGTCTTAAGCAGGGCCCATATCAGCAAACTGCACTTCTTGACCCTAAACTTCGCAGGCATTTTGGCGCTACGTCTGGTGTCTTAAGTCGCGGCTTTGTCTATCTATATATTTAGTCACAGATTTTATTGCAATAGAGAAATAATTTGTGAGATTTATTTTGTATAACACAAAATTGCGCGACAATTAACAAAAAAAAAAAAAAACGTCTTCTGATCAAAAAAGTTGCGCGAACTCGGTACTTCCGATTACTTCTCTCTCACGACGAAACGCCGCGTGTCTATTGACTTTTCGTCATATCTTATCCCCTCGACGAACGATCACGCTCGATACAAAACTGTCTCATGCTTCGCGAAACAAAGAACCCGGGAGATTTACAAGCGAGATTGGACGTCCACAATGTTGCTAGAGCATCGATGCGCGTCTCATCGCGCAACACCCAATCCACTCCGTCATTCTCGGAAACCGAAAGCGTTCGTCGGCACGAAACACGTCGACACATTGTTTGTCGCGGAACTAATCCGGACGAGGTCCGTGTAATACTAGAAGTGCAGCGGATCCTCTCTGCCGAAGCCCCCGGAGGCCCCTTTGGCGTTGGCGCACGCATCGAAACGCAAAGAGGACCCCCGTCCGTTCCTCGATCAGGAGGGTCCCGCCGCGTGACAACCGCGTTTAGCAGCATCTTGGATTACAGCTGTCTTTGTTCAATCTTGCTGACTTGAAGGCAAGTCTCGGAGAGGGCCACGGTATATATATTCTCTCCCGCGCGCCACTTTGTCGGACCGGGCCTCGGATTTTTATCGGGCAACCTTGTAGAATTAATGAGTATCCCGGGCATCGGCGTCCGGTGTCTTTGTTTTACGATCGGGACGCGCCAACGAAAATGGCCGGCGGAAGACAAAACTTCATTTTCGTCGTCGAGACTTTCTCCCGCAGATTTAATCTCGCATATAGACGCGGCTAGACGCTCTCGGCTTAACTTCCCTATATCGGAGCCTATCGGGCGAATAACACTTCATTAATTTTAACCGACTGTCTCGGATAATCAAAACGTTTGGATACGTAATCTTCCATTCCAAATTACTATATTCTTCCTAAATATCTTTATGGAGTATAGGCGTACGAAATCTTGAGAGTTTTTCTCTTATTTAATTGTTTTTTTTCTCATCGTAATGAATCTAGTTATCAGCAGATCACCTTCGAATGATTTTCGTACCTGTGAGCTTCGAAAGTGGACTTACGCGAAACAAATAAATTCTATCTAATACGCGTGTGTAGCTGTGAAAGCCGGGCGACGCGTGGCGTGACCTTGCTGACCCTAGCAAGCATTGCCGTTCGCGTGAGGCTGTTTTTCGGACGACGATTACCATATTCCGAGTTGCCCGGTAGCTCCGCGTGTTCGAGCACGAATAATCCGTGTATTTTCGAGCCGAAGAGCTGTGTGCGTGCTTGAGTTTAGCCACGGAGCGCTCTATCGGTCCGCTCTATCTTAACGACGCTAGATCTGTCCTTTTCTCCACCCGATTCCCGCGCGCGCGCAGTCCCACTCTTCTGCCTTCACCCTCGCCACGACCTGTCTCGTGAGAGAAGTCGAAGAGAAGAAAGACAGAGAGGGAGAAAGAGAAAGAGAACGCAGCGTGAGAGACGGGAAGAGAAATACGTCTGTCACCCAAATGATTGATTCGTCCCGGTCTTCTCTATCGAAGGCGAAACTCCGGAAACGACTTTCACGACGATAATATCTTTCGGTAAAAATCTCCGCGTGACCGCCTGATTGGCAACCTCCGCGATAACTTGCGACAATAGTGAATAATTTCGAATCAAAGAGACACGCACGTACAGTCGGCGTCAATAAATCGTTTCGTAGCCCCGGGAGCTAGGGGTAAGAGAGACGGTATACCCTAGGAGTAAGTACCGCCAACGGGCGCCGCACTAACTAACTGTAGCAGATTTCGATGAATTGATCAATTACAGTATTTACTGCTAGGGAATACCGTCCCTCTTACCTCTAGCTCCCCGCATCCACGAAACGATTCATTGACGCCGACTGTACCACACACACACACATGCGCAATCGGGGGATCCTTCACACAAATATTCATTGAGAAAATCACTTGAAGAAACGTCAATGAAATTGCGCGTACAACCGTTGTTGGGTTTTTTTAATCATCGATCAAGATGATCTCTCTCGGCTCGACAGTCGATTAGCGCGAGAGATTCTAACTATGGGATCGGGGACCAATAAACGAAAGGGTCCGCGCGCTCAAATATACACGAACGTCGAAAGTGCGTCAGAGTGCTCCGTTCGACTATTTCGAGAGAGCCGTCGAGTTTCGCTCGCGCAGCCGACGTTTCGTTTCTTCTTTCAGTCGTGGAAGAAGAGAAGAGATTCGGACACGGGGCCCCGGCGCTAAGACTGTAATGTGTCGGCTTAACGTCAACGGAGACAGTCGCCTATTCCCAACCAACTCGGACTGCGGGGCCCGCTTCGCCGGCTATCTGTGCGTGTGTGCACGTGTCACGAATTACATGCGAGCGCTGCACGCTCGACTGACGCGTGAGGAATCCGCATGAGGGCAGCGGGAGAATAAAAGAACGAAAAGTACACGCGGAATCCTTTCGCGTGAGCAATCGCAAGTGTACAGGTTTTAATGCGAAATATCCCCCCCAACCCAAAGCGAGAACGGACTGTTGCCTGCAAACTGGAGAACTCGAAAGGACTTTTCGATCTCATGCGATAATCCCTGAGTAACTTGCTATTCTGACAACAAATAGGAGACACGCACACGCGTACACAAAGAAAAATTGATTTGCGAAAGAGGAAGCACTGAGCCACTTAGCAACTAGAAACGGAACGAAAGAAGACGGGGCAAAAGACGGGGAATTAGATTCCACGGCGGAGAGACTCCCGACAATGGATATCCAGAGTCTCGATGACAATGGCAACTCGATACTTCGTTTAACCAAGGTCCGGCTTTTTATTCTCAAGAACGACGCTGGCCACTGACGACGACGACGACGACGACAAGCGTCGATCGGCTTCGACGGTGGCCGTGGGGGACGACCTTTTGCCTCCGCTCTATTATCGGAAAAGAAAAAGCGTTTCATTGCGAACCGGCGCGGCAGCATCGGCTCGATCTTTTGCCGTGTAACGGCGGATCTTTTGTCGGCTCCTCTCGCTTTTGAAAACTCTCGTGTCGCGTCCGATACGCCACGAAGAAAATTCCCGGAGTATTAAGTATCCATTACGGCGCTTCACGTTCCACATCTCCCTTCCCGTCTTCTACTGAAAAAATGTCCCATCCATCCCTTTCTCCTTTCCTCCCGAAGGAGTCTCCCGAAGATTTCGTCGCGGAGGAAACGGAAGCGGGCGTATTCGGGAAACGGCAAATGTTTCTTCCGTAGCGGGGGAACAATCGGAGCTGCGTCTCGGTCGTGGGAAGGGATCTCCGATTGAAATCGGTCGCTGCTCGAGGGAATAGGGAAAAGACTTCTCATTTCCGCGAACGCGCGCGCTCTCCGGTCCGTCTCGCGATCGTTCTCTTTGCCGCGGGCGCACGCACTCCCGGACTACAGGAAGCACGCTATTAAACCCGCTGTGCTCTCAAACGCGGGTCTCAAACCAGTTTACGCGGGGAATATAAAGTCTAAAAGTAAAATAACGCCGCGCGTACGTAACGAATTAACATATAATACAACTGTTCGTCTTTTGTGTTTCGGAAATTCGGGTAATTCGCTTCTGCTTTTCACTTTTTTGCGTGCGCGCGGAAATTAAGCGGCGGATGTTCCACGACAAGTATAGAAACCCAGCGGTTGTTCCTCGAAGAAGCGCAACAAACGGCTCGCGACGAGAGCGGCTCTCTCCTCCCTCTCCCCCCTCGTCGTCTCTTCTCTGTTCTCTCCGCGTGTCAGGGGCGTATCCGCGTGTCTGTGGCGGCGTATCTTGATTTCCAACCGGCGCGATCTCTTCCGAGCTAATCGCGATAAGACTGAGGGAAAAAAGAGGGCCCCCGGGAGAACGCGCGCCGCCTGAGGGGAACTACTCACTCTGGGTGAAAAGAGGATTCATTTGCGGCGCGCGCTAATTGGCTCGCGATTTCTCTGCGCGAGCCGGGCCGCGGACATTCGTCACGTTTGCCCCCGTCACAGTAGGCTTTCTGTGTGTGACGCGAAAACAAGGCGATGCACTGTGCGCGTGGCTCTCCCATCGCCGTAGCAAATCGCTCGTTCGAATTTACGCGACTTTTTTTTCCCATCCCTAGCCTCTCGCCCGTTTATCTCGCATGTTCAATCTTGTCGCGCGATTATACTTGCCGGGAACTTCTTGGGCAATCCGATGGGACGTGATCGTGATTTATTTCGCACACAATTATATTAAAATATTATAAATTGTAATTATATAGTCGTTATTATTAATATTATAATGTAATCAAATGGCACGCAAATACTCTCGGCAACTACGAGAATCCGGTTTTTCCGCGTAGGCGTTGAAAACGAAAACAACGACGGGCAGAGCGGCGCGCGTGTTGTTTCATCTCCGTGAGCGCGCTAATTCCGCGGAATTCCTCAGCTAGAAACCGTCGCGACGCGTGTCTTGTCTATTAAGGTCGCTGCCCACACGCTCCCGTCTTGAGAGATTTCCGTCTCGCGGAAGTTCAGCGGCACAACACGACGACGAGCGGGACCCGAAGAACCGTGATGTCGTCGCGGGGTAAAATATCGCAACGAAGAAAAAAAAAACAGCAAAATAGTGTCCGCTCGCTCGAGCCTCTACCGTGTCTCGATCAAGTTTATCGCGTCCCCCTTCGCGCCACGGCGCTTACTTCCGGCGTTTCCGGTGTCACACGCCGTTGAGCACGCTCTATCCCTTCCAGAGGTCTGTGTACGTGTGTAAGGACCACGTCCGACAAACCAGAAAGCATCCTAATTGTTGGCGCAACACCAGGGGTCCTCCCCTCCGCGTCTTCATTGTCGGAGACATTGTGCGTGTCTGTGTTCGCAAACGGCCACCCGCGGCTACTGCTCTCTTCCGACGAGAAAAAATCAACGTTACAACAACGGAGACGCACGGATTCCGTGAGTCTTTTAACTTTTCACACACATCGACCAGATTAACTCGTCAAAGCGAGAGTAAAGAAAATTTACTGACCCAATCGCGAATAAATCGCATTTGATCTAAGATTAATTTTACCGATAATACGCATTTGAATTACGTGACAGTATATCTCCGATCACGTGTATTGCGTAAGGCAATAAAAAGTGATATTTAACAAGCGATTATTCGCGACAACGACGCGACAGGTATTAATTCCACACCCGAATCGAGCTACCGATTGTTCGAATGTTAAAGAGCAAACTTTCTCTTTCTCGATTAACTGACTAATTAATATGTCGCCTGAACGCGACGTGTCCGTCGTAAGAGTGCCGGTAAATTCACGTTTTTACCAACCGACGATGTATAAAAAAAAGTCAATACATAAAAAAGTCTTTGTTTGACAGCAACACGTCGATGTATCGAAAACGCGCTCGAGGTTCTGGGCGCGGTGTGTTACAAAGTGCAGTTGTGTTTCGGAGGAGTCGAGTTTGTGACTTGACGACGAGCATCCGCGAGCGGGGAATAATAATTAATGAGCACTACTCACGTTGTGCAACTTGTAGTAGAGTCCGCAGGCGTTGCAGACCGGCTCGCCGGCCTGGTTCCTCCGCCAGAGAGTCGTGGTCGCCGTCTTGCAGTTGGCGCAGCTGGTGCCCGCCCGTCTCGCCGCACTCTGCAGCGACAGTTTTGGAAAAAGAGAAGACACAGATATCACACCCGTCACGATAAAGTTTCGGACGATCGTCGCGCGGCTAGATTTAACCCTAGCAATATCAACACACACCCTCTGTAACTTTAGTTCTCAATCTAAACTGTATAGCCTGTCGCTATGTACAACATGCTGTACATTCGCGCTGTTAAAATTTGTTGTAACTGTAAAAAGTATATGCGATAAAACAATATTATTATTATTATCGCGCGTACGCGTGTTTTAATAGTTTTACATATCTCCGTAAATAATAAAATTCGATAACGGTAGTAGACAAAAACTTTCTTCTGGCTAGATGCTAGGGTTAGATCTATTTCTATCGTTAATAATTGTTCAATTACTTAAGCTTAATTACGCAGAACGTTGTAAAATGGCGAGGAAAGAGTTGTGGTGTGCTGTGTAACACTCACGAGATAGCGGTAACATCGGTCAAGAAACACACGGCGCGTGAAAGTTTCGCGATCAAGACTCACGTCATGCAAGAAATATAAAACGGATGATGGAATGAAACACTCTCGAGTGTGCGTAATATACTCGAGAGTCCGTATTCTAACTCCCACACCAGAAGCGCATTCGATCCGTCGGCTTAAAACGCGCGGAATCAAAAAGCCACGGGCCTTGACGCGGGTTACCGTGACACATCAACCCTCCCCCATCCCGTCTTCTCCCCGAAATCCATGCTCAGGCGGCCGTGGATCGGATCGACGTTCGGATCCGTTCGTGGAAGGAGAGAAGAGAATCGGTGATGCGGAGAGCGAGAAGAAGCTTATGGTGCGGCAGGAAAGCGCGTCTCTCCCATTCTCGGCGAGTGGGAAATTTGAAAAAACTCGAGGGGGCCCCGAGGGGTGTATACACCTGTACACCCTCGTCGACGCATGCGAGTGGCAAACATTTAACAAAAAGAAGCGGGATCCATTTTTATCCCTCGGGGACTAACCGCGGCTTATTTCCCCGGGACCGGCGCGCGAAGAAGAAGAAGAAGAAGAAGAAAGCAGGTATCTCGTTCCGTGTGTTGAATCCGTATTATGACGCTCTTTGGCCCGATGCTTCTCCGGTTTATACACAGCCCTCTCATATCCCTCTCTCTTTTCCCGCTGAACCACTTAACCGTTAATAGACGATACTATGTTGCCGAAGAACTCGGCTCGCTGCAGAGGGCAAACCTTCTGGGCGCACAACGCGTTTCATCGAAACGAAATAAATTACAGTATTACGTAGTTTTTCGCGTTACTCGCGAACGCCATGTATATTTTACAATTTAATATTGGTCAATGGACTCATTGACACGTGAATTGCTGATAAGGACGAGTACTTCACAAAGCTGATCAGTGTGCCGAGATAACAACGGCACGCACAAGATGTTTCCTTTCCGAGAGGCGCCCATCTTTTTGACCCACCACTTTCGCCCCTCGTTCACCTCCTACTCACGAACCACTTAACCTCCTCCCTTCCTCCCGCCCCTCCCGGGATGACACTGCACTCGGAAAGGCAGGGCACCGTCGGGGCAAAACGATATACCTGCGCCATTGTCGGCGAAAGTATAAAATACAGGGGATGCCCGGGGCCGCCTCCCCTCCTGCTCTCGCATAATAGTGAGCTTATTGAAATTTCTTTGAGCGAGAGGGATAGCTCGCGTGTCCCCCTCCTTTTCCGTGCGCGACACAAAATTGCCCTCTTTTGTACTCTGTTCTCCTCTCAAAGTATTATTGCGTCACAATGAACTCTGAGACAGTGTGTCGAGCGAGTGTGTCTTTCGAGTTTGTGTCTCGTTTTGTCAAACGCCTCTCTTTCGAGCGCAGTCTCGCGTCTCGCTGGCGTATTCAGGCGCGAATTCGCGGATCGATGCGCGATCGAGTGGTTCGGAGGAGTTTCCGGAAGATAGTCGGTAGTAAACGCTGGTTATATTGTGACGAATTTGTGTGAGAAACAGCTTCGGAGAGAGATCGAACGATATCAAAGATGCAACCAATATCGTTAACTATTACAATTAATTAATAAAATTAATCGTCGCGCGATGAATTTACGCGTTACTTGTGTGTGAGAGAAAGAAAAAAACACCATCGATAAAAATCATCCTTCGATCCATTTTTGTCCTGCGAAGTTCGCGTCGTGAGAACGGACCCTTGTTTACCTCGGGAATGAAACACCAAGGGTTCCCGGGAGGGAGGTTTGGCGAGGAGCGGCGGGAGGAGAGGCAGGTACGGTGCGGTGTGTAATCATGCCTTATCAGGCGGATCTTATCAACCCTTGCGTAGCAAAAGGGGTCCGCGCGGGGCGCGCTTGTTGCGGGACGCCCGGGGAAAACCCTCCGTCCCGGGGAATCAATACGCGGAGAGCCACCTCATCAATATAGCGGCGTCGCCTATCTGCTCTAGATCTTTAACACCCTCGGCGCGGGGAGTCCGGACACTCCGAAAATCGCCGGCCGGTACCTACCGGCCATCACGTTCGCGCGGCTAATGGTTATTAAACGAGAAACGTGGGGCAAGTTTCCAGACGAGCGAGTGTTTCGACTGATCCGGGAGATCATTAGCAAATGGAGAATAATTCGTCGACGAGCGGTGGACAGAGCGACGAGCGTGTGACACCGGGGGATCAAGTTCGCGAATATTATAGTGAAATGTCAAAATGACGCCAATTTGTTTCTCATTTATGTTTTCTTGTTGTCATAAATAAAATATATTCTTTACTTCGTTAAATAAATGTCGAAATGTTTTATTTTTCGGATTATTTTATATATATATATACCTCGTGACCTCGGGGATTAATCTATAATCTGTCCTAACTTTATCTTCAAATGTTCTCTTTTGCTTATGTGAATAGAGAAGACATCCAATTACAATTTGTTACGATATGAAATTATTTTCTCTTGATGTTCTGAGAGCTACTGTCTGCTGTATGGATTGACGCGCGAGCGCGTTCCTTCGTGCGGGAACGACCGACTGGTCAACCGGCACCGGTCGTGCACGCATTGCTGGGCGATTAGAACCCTGAAAGTAGTCGTTTCCCCACGGTAAGTTCCCGTCGCGCGTCATATTCCGGTAACGGCGCGACGTTCGATCCCGGGAAGAAGCTCGCAGACTAGTAGATTCCCCGTCTGTATTTCTACACGACGGCGAATTTATTTATCTCACGCGCGTACCCCGACGAAGGACGAGAGAGCTCCCGGTAATTGCCGCCGTAAGCCCGGCCCGCGTATCGGGGACTCGCGCGCGGGCGCGGACAATACTTTATCATCCGCTGCCGGGCGCGTTTGGAACCGGTTGCCTCCAGAAGGCAGAGCTCCGGACACTGACGGATATGACATTTCTGAAGTTCGCGGCGATCTACGTTTCTCGCGTCGCTTTATTCCTATTTTATCTCCCTCCTCTTGCTTTCTTTTCCCCGTGGCCGCTACCCTCGCCGTTCCTTCCCCCCCTTCGACCTCTCCTCCTCTTCGGCTCCGCAGTCGTCAGTCTTTTTCTTCTTCGCTTCTCTTCTATCTTGCCCTCCTCCTCTTAGAGTTCGACCTCGCGTTTCCCTCGCTCGTTTTATTTCGCTCCCTCGTTGCCACCCCAACGTACATCGACTCGGCCTCAGCTCAGTCCCGATGAGGAAGAGAAGGAGATGAAAGAATGAGAAATTTCTCTCTCTCTCTCTCTCTCTCTCTCTCTCTCTCTCTCTCTCTCTTTCTGTTCCACAGCGGCAAATCGCATTTTTATTTTCCATCGATCTTTGTGCCTCCTCCTTCGAGCGAGAGCGAACGAGACGACTTTGAGAGCGCGTCATTCTCGAAATTGAAAACTGGATTATCGGCTTCGATGGACGTCTGGTTCGATGGACAAGCTCGCGTGCGAATAGTCATTCGTTCAATGACTTTACATCGTGAGATGAGGAATTTTATCTTCATTTGGCTTCGTCGTCGCAAAAAAAAAACTTCGATACGGATCTTAATAACGCGTCGCAATTATTTAATTAAATCTGTATACGTGCAATAATAACATATATGAAATAATTCTTTCTAAAGAAAGTAAACTCGCTGAGGATAAAGACAAAAACCAGACGCTATGACAGGAACAAGCGATAGAAAGGCATGTTGCGCCGCTTATCACGACAATCCTTAATGCGCTAATCGTGTAAGTAAATAAAATAAAAAAATAAAAAAAAAACGAAGAAAGTTGCACGAGGAAAACGGCTACCGATGTCGATAGCAACACGACCGCATGAGAGATCACGAAATCCTTTCGCCGACTGGACCATTACGCGCGTTATTAATTAGCTCGATATACTGATTAATGACCGGGCCCGCGATAATTCTAATAATACTACACGCGATGTTTGCGCTTCTCCGGATGAAGCCAGTTGAAGCAAAAGAATCCTGATCGATATTTCAATCGTGCCCGACTCGAATAAACTCGTTTTAACTTTGTTGAAATAAACAAAGATGTGTTAAACGTTACCTTTTTGAAGTCGATTTATTTGCATCGTGCGCGTAACAGGGGGGAATAATATATTAAAATACTTAATTCCTATAAATAGAGTTTGAATTAAAATGATTCTTTGCGACAGCTATCGAATTTTCGACGATGTCGTCTCGCGCTCATTTCCGAAAAGCCGATCTTTGTTTTGAAATACAAGAAGATCGATATCTCGTCGTAGTATACGACAACAAGTTCGATCGACGGTTTGACAACGACCCCTGCATGTAGCGCGTCACACGCTCGATCGATATCGGCGTTGACTATTTTGAGAAATCGTCTTGGCTCTTTCGTGCGCTATTCTTTGCCGCTACGAGATAGAGAAGCTGCACGACGATCCGCTAAGCCGAAAATCGGCGCTCCGGGATCAACGAAATCCGGCCGGCAATTTTTCGCGCGCGCACGCGCAGGTCCGCATTGCGCGCGAGTAAACTATCGTTTTACGAGCGTATATAGCCTCGATAACGATCTGCGGGTATCCTTGACTGAATCGTGACTAGAAGCGACGGGGAGCGG